TTTAAGTGCTAAATGGCAGTTTCGGTGAGGGCAAAACAGACAATAACAACCATTAAAGCCGTGTTAATGATTATTTATTCGAGCCTTTGCCGCGAGTTCTTCTTACTAAAGTCACGACACGTGGCAACGATCCCTGGAGGAACTTGGAAGTTGAAGGCTGAGAATTTCTCAAGGCAGTTGACATGAGCAACGGCTAACGATGGGCATCATGGGAGAGTGTCAAGGCCAACCATTTATTATTTTGTCTTTTCGTTTTTTTTTTTTTGTTTTGTTTGAGATGACATGAAAGCGATTACAAGAGAAGTCTGTCATGGACAAAACGAACAGAGCTACGTCCAAGATATCCCGATGGATGCAAGTAGTTGGCGGATACAATAAGACGTGAAAGGGCTCTGTAAACGTGGTGGAGGCTCACTCTCAATCTCTAGTGTTTATATCCAAGTTGTAAATTTGAAAGTTCAGACTTAATTCAACTTAATTAGTTTTAAATTAAAAAATATTTATAAAATTTTAATCATTAAGTTAAGACTAATCACACTTCACTCATGATGAATGATTAGGATGGAGAAAATGTTTTCTAAATTTAAAAAAAGTGATAATCATGAGGTTTGAGCATCAAGTTAAAATTATTTATAAATAAAAGAACCCTTCTTCGATAAGAATTATCATCAGCATCAACAAACTATCAGTCAAATTCTTAAATTATACGTTCTTTATTTTTCATTGTATGGCCAGCATAATCCCGCCACCTCTTTTTTTAATTAATGTATCTTTACTTTTTTACATTTACATTAATTTTTTGTCACTTCGCATTCTCACATTTGGATGAACTGTAATAAGAAAGTTCAAATTCTCTGTATTTAATTAGAAGGCAGGTTTTTTTATTCTTTTGAGACCTCACTTCTTCTATCTTTTTAAAACCTTGCGTTTCTGATACACCACCCAACACTTTTTTTCGTTTTTGTTGAACACCTAGCATTCAGGATCTTTATTATATTGCAGATGAGCCTGTTGGAGTATCTGAATAGCACACTGGCTATCACTTTCAAATTGGCAGAGTGCCAAGCTCGTTGTCCCAGAGTTTTGCACTTGACATGCTACGTACTGGAGCCGAGGTTCCTGCACGCTCCCATGAGCCAATTCCCCGAAGAGTCTCGAATAATGCTACCGGCTCATACAACTAATGGTAGACGACTTGCAAGCACCGCCACAATTTATTTTAATGCCTCCAATGGGAGTGCCTCCCAAGCTACAGGCTCTTGTAGGTAAAGTTAGGAATACAGGCAGGCCCAACTTTTAAGTACTTGACCCTTATGGGTTTGGTCAGAGCCTGAACCTTAAAACTCAATTTGTTATTTTGACCCTCATTTTTCAAGCTCGGCCCTTATATTCAAGGCTCAGGACCGGACCGTAAGCCCTTTTTTAAAAATAAAAAAACTAAAATAAAATTAAACATTATAAATAAATTAAAATATTCTAAAAGTAAAAAAATTAAAATCATCATAATTTTTTAGAAATTAAATAACACACATTTAAAAGTCTATTAATAAAATTTAAATCTTAGTTAAAAAATAGTTCATTTTTTTATAAATATACAAACATAATAATTATAAAAAAATATCATAAATTTTAAATTATACACTGATATTTATTAAATTATATTAAATTAATTTTAGAATAAATTAAAATTAATAATAATATAATGTGTGTAGAATCAGGTGAGCAGGTTATTAACTTCAAATACATGTTTCACTAAAGAAAATAATAATAATATAATAGGGCTTGAAGGGCCATCCGAGCCCGAGCCCTATTTTACAGGGTTTATCAGAGCCAACCCCCCAAGCCCGATTACTTTAAAAAAAATTTATTTTCAAAGCCCGAACTCTTATTTAAACAGGACTTCCAAACTCGGCCCTCCAAATTTGGCCTTTATTCCCGACTCTATTGTAGGTGCAAAAAAAAAAAGGCTCGCAAGAGCGACATGCCTAAAAAAATAAAATATTTTTAATTGAATTTAATTTTTAAAATATATGTTTATATTTTAAAATTAAAATTTATATTATTTATTTTTAATTTGTGAACATTATAATTTGTATTTTGAAAGAATATGAAATATTATAAAGTAAATATTGAATTTTTAAAATTTTAAAATAGCAAATATCGAGTTTGCGTCTATATGACTTGACTCCGCCATCTCCCGGCTCTAGTTACATAACAACTTCTTATTAGGATAATCCCAAAGTTTCCAACACGTGTCTCGTCTTTTTGGTATTTATGCAGCAGTATTGAATTTTGGACTCAGAAATCTTAAACTTGAAATAGATAAAATTATTTCTATTTATTTTGAATCTAAACTATAAATCAATATATAACATTGAAATTAAAATAAGATTACTGTGTTCATAGAAAAAATAAGATTACTACATATTTATTGTAATTCTTGTTTTGCATGAACTTTTTATGTTTCAATTTTTCACACCCATAAGTGTGAAAAACTATAGTTTAAAATTGAAATTTGATGAGATAGAAATGAAATAATTTTTATTGCTGATTTTGCATCTTATGCTGTTAGTATTATCTCATTTTTATTATAAAAATATTTTAGAAAATTCAAATGAACATCTTTTACTTTTATAAAAAATTGCATTGAATTACCATTCTTACTACAGTTTTTTACTGTTTTTCTACTGGACCCCCTAATTTAAATTGTTTAAGTAATTTTAAAATTATTTTTTCATTTAATTTTAACATGGATGATAAGTTCTGAAATCTTACATTTTGTGAAGCTCATTTTTTCATTGTTCTTTCTACATTGTAATTTCTGTAATGTCCTTATACAATGTTAAAATCTCATGGTTTCTTTATTGCCGTGGCGTCCTCATGATGTGAATTTTCAAAAAGAAAAATTAGGTTGTAACTTCTCCAAAGTATTATGTCACTGCTTACAACAAATTACATTTTTAAATTTTTGAACCGTGTAATTCTTTTAATGTTTTTGTCCAATATTTAAATACCAATTGGTTGTTTTTCTTTTCCGATGAAAAAACACCGATTGGTTGTTGATTGCGTCAACCTTTCTCCAATTTTCTTTCTACCCACTCCGTTAAAATAAAATAAAATATTTTTAATTAAATTACATAACTAATAAGTTAGTTAATTTTTAAAAATCCACGTCATCTTTTCATGTATGTTTTTTATTTAATAGAGCATATCACTTAGAGATTAATGTTTCAATAATTTATTTATTATGAATATTTTTTAAAAAATTCATTAATTATATATTAAAAAATGAAAATACCTTATATTTTTTAAATTAGTCCCAACCTATTGTGCTTTTAGACCAAATTTTTAAAAAAGTTTCAATTTTTAATTCAAGATTAATAAATTAATGTTTTCAAAATTTTAAATTGCAGGTAACATTACATTTTAAAATTATCTTTTAAAAATATATTTTTATTAAAATATTCAATGAGGTAATAAATTTTTAAATAAAATAGAGATGGGGTTATAAATTGTGGAGTCATTTATAGTTTTGGATGTTTAATGTGTACAAATATAATAAAATTTAAAACTTAGAATGAAATATGCTATTTAAATTTTTTAAAATGCACATACTCCCTCAATTAAAAAATGTAAAATATTTTTATATTTAATTTTACTTTTCAATAAAGTAGTTATTTCTCTTCAAATTAGCCCTAACTTTTTATATTTACTCATATTTAATAAGATACTTTATCTCAAAATAAATATAAAGTAATTTATTTAATAGGAATTTTTTTTGGGAGGATAAGGCAATGATTACACCTTAAAATATTAAAAATGTCTTATATTTTTTAAGATTTAATTTCTCAAAAAATATTTTACATTTTTAAATAAAGAGAGTATATAACAAGTTATCAAATAAAATGTGTTGTTATCTAAATTATATGATATTTTGGCCACTGATCGTGACTATTTCAAACATTTTAGAGACTGTATTTTTTAAATTATCATTTTAATATTTACTAAATATTTTACTTTCATTAGTTTTGATAATTTATTTGGTACTTTGGCTTACGGCAAAATAGGGATTTCAATTACTTCAATTTTTTTTATACATATAGATCAGAGGTTAAAAGTTTATAATTGATTTTCTTACTCTTTTCATTTTTCACCTTCTCTTTGTTAAAATTTTATAATCTTATTTGTCTATTTCTTTAAAATTTAATCCATTAGAATTCCCTTCGTTCTTTTCATTCCTCCCAAATCAAATAGAAGATTAAATTTTCCATACATCGCACAGGTGAAAAATCTAGTTTATATGTGTTCATGTTATGAGCAGTATCAACTATGTATCAAATGTGAGATTAACCAGGAAAAAGCTGGTAAAAAAAAAAAACCTCAGAAAAATAGGCCAAGCTGTAGTTCATTAACAACATCTAATCAATATATTTTATCCGTTAAAAATATAAGATTTTTTTTTCTGGAATTAGATTTTCAAAAGAATAAAATAAAAGATATTTAATTTTTAAATATGTAATTAATAAGTACTTAATAATGAGACATCTTATTAAATAATAATTTTCTATTAAAGATAATCAACTAATTTATTAAAAGGTTTTATTCAGTGAAAAATGTTTTATAATTTTAATTGGAGGAAATAACACTTAATCATTTATCAATCAATGGTCTTTCGGCTCAAGGGCACCAGAACCCATCTTAGAAAGGAGAGGATGTGGTTTTGAGCTTCGGACGAGTGCGTCTCCCACTTTATGAAAAAGGACACGGTTAGAGGTGTATTTAAAAGAAAAAAAAAACAAATATAACAGTTCGTATGTTCTAAGCTCCATAAATTGCATTTTTTTTTTAAAAAAAAAAAAATCTAAGCAGCATGAAAGGGCCACGTGAACCAAATCGCAAGTCCGACCCAATTTCAATCGGACTATGAACAGCCCCCTGATTGTTTACCTGCTTGAGCCCATGAAATAAAGTTTTTCTTCTGTTTTTCCCCTGAAAGCAGATCTGCAGATGATCTGTTTGAATTATTAATAAAAGGTGAAGTACTCTGATTTAAAAAAAAAAAAAAAAACGGAGCTCCTGTTTCAAAAATGGCAGTAGCTTCTGCAACTTTAGCCTCTTTCATTGATCTCACGCCACATCCATCGACCAAGCTCCTCCGCTGCTCTGCGACGCTACCCATACCCGCAACACTTGTTTGCCGATTCCACTACGGCTCTTGTTCCAATCTCAGAGTCAGTAATTGCCATGGCAAGGTATGCTATTAAATCTGCTTCCTGTGCAAGCAAATACGCATTTGTTTTAGAATTGAGTTCACCGTTGTCCCACTTCTTCTTAGTTGAACAATTCAACTGAAGGAGAACCAGATGAAATTGACGAATCCCTATTTGGTGGCTATGACGGGGTTGAGGACGACACCGACGATGAGGAAGCAGAGAACAGTGTCGACTTGTTGATTAGATTCTTACGGAGCATGTTTAGGAAGGTCTCTAAGCGAGCAAAGAAGGCTTCGCGATCCATTTTACCAGCAGTAATATCGCCTCAGCTTGTAAGTTTCGGTTTTGAAGAAGAGCTTTTGGAAATTTCGATTCTAAATGGACTTGCTTAGTTTAGCAATATGGGAATCAGCAATTACTATTTTGTTTCTGACGGGTTTAACTTCTGCATTGCTTAAAGCTGCGAAATTGTGTAACTCATTGGTAATCTGAGAGGAATTTGCCTGTGCTGATGCAATTTGATGACTACTAAAGTTTTGAACAAAGGAAGTTACTTGAAAGGTCAAAAAGGAACTATTGCTTTGATATGTAGCTGAAAATTTCTTAAAGATGGAGTTTCAAGTTTCTAGTTTTATTTTGGCGATCGGTTGCATGTTTTGTTATGAACCGGAATCTCTCTTACAAGCTTTGCCTTACATTAGACTTGTCTGGTATCTCTTAGCACTGAACTTTGTGTCCTTGTTCCTTTGATTTGTTCTGCTTCCTGCTGCTTGTCTGAAAGTTGATGAGCTGATTTTTTTTTTTTAATATTTAAAATTTATTATTGGCTTCTTTCTCCTAATTCTTTCCTTGTGGATTGGGAATTCAGGTTTCTTTTGCAGTTGACGGTACGCTGCTACTTGCTTCACTTTCTATTGTTAAAGCGTTTCTTGAGGTAATTTTTTCAATCAATGTCTTTGTATGGTCTAATGGAGAGTTTAGGGTTACCTCAAAGTTGAAACCGTTTTTTTTTTTTTCAACTTCACATAGAAATTCTCTCCTTTATCATTTTATCGTATCAATCCTCGATTTAAGTATGCAGAAATGAGCAACGTCTGTGATAGAGATTGTAATTGCAGGCTCTTCATTGTACTTGCACATCATATATTCTCTATGACTTGGAGTGCGTTTGGTTGAGGTCGAAATAAGTGATGAAAATGGGAGGCTTAAAATCTGGACTCAATTAATTTTTCTTCTGGACTCACGATTACTTATAACTTACTGGATCCAACATTATGGAATGATTTGAGAGTGGAGTAACATTCGTTTTCACTCATAGGCCTCTGCTTCTTGGGACGAAAATGAGGTGAAACTGATTAATCGCTCTCTATTAGGCACCAAGCAAGTGGAAATCAAAACCCTTTCGTCTCTGTCCATTTTCACGCCCTTCTTAATTTCAGTTTTTCTGTGCGAAGAACAATCTATCATAACAGATAATGGTGCAAGCCAAGAAGTATGTAAATTCCATCTTTCTGTTTAAGATAAAGTGGGCTATTGTTAGGTATTTGTAACTTGTTACCATTTTCTTTAGCCTTGGTTTCAATACCTTTGAATATTGAAACAACATAAGGATACAATAGGATCTTAAAGAGATGAAAGTAAATTGAACAGAAGAATCAATGGTAACTTTATCATTTGAGACATGTAGGATCAATAAGCGAGGATAATAAACTTTAGTTTTGGCATTTCTCAATGTTTACTTTGAAAAGTATTCATTGCTGTTCTGCATAAAGGACTTGACAATTGGCGCATATGAATTAATCGTAGGTGATATGCACGCTTGGAGGTACTGTATTTGCTGGGATTTTGTTCCTTCGAGTGATCTGGGCAGCAGTTGCTTACTTTCAGTCTAGTGGAAATAGCTTCAACCAAGGTGGAAGTTCCTTCGGTGCCGTAGCTTAGAGCTCTCTTTAAGCTTTAACACAGAATTCCCTTTGTAAGTTTAAATCCTACATTCTTTGCTTCTGCGCTACTTTGTAATGGGCGAAGGCTATGAATATGATATCGTATATATGAAGTAGAAATTACTCATCAGGTTTTTAAAACATCAAAGTAGAAATTAGTTTCCGCAAAAAGTGATCAGATTCAATGTATAGACTATAGTACTCGTTTTCATTTTTTTAGATGAATAATCTTAGATTTGACGAGACAAAATTTTGTTCAAATCTATTTTTTTTTTTTGAAAAAAGCTAAGAAATAAAAATAGCGGTGTAACGTTCAATCTAACAATAATATTTGTAACTTTGTTGGGAAACGCCACTTGTGTCCACGCGGCGTGTTAACTCGTCAATATTGAGTTATTTGTACGCACTCACAAGGATTTCCAAAAGGAAGATTCGAAGTCATATTAGCTTTACTTTATTCAACATAGCGTCACAAAGAAAGAGCAATGTTGAAACTGTTGCACGAAATATGTAAGTATTGTGTATTCAGGAGAGGCAGCCTTCTTTCACAAGAGCAATACTTTAGAGCTAAAATATTACAAGGAAAGCCTGCAGAGTCCGCTGTGCTACATTTTCAGCGAACGAATTCGGTTTCCAACACGGTAGCAAATGGAGATGCTCATATATATACTAGCTTGAGATGGTCCTGCGAAAGACAATACCAGCTCCAGCCTCCATGCATGCATGACCCCGAGTTAAAAGCCTGGAAATGAGGTGTACATTCTACACTCCACACCTTGAGCATGTGTCTTTTCGCAGAGGAAGGAAGTTCTGCATCTTTATGTATTTATTACCAGATTTATGGTTTAATGTCTTCCAAATCCACCTCCAACCTGCATATGTAACCACTCCGGTGAAGATCCCCGGCTGAACTGATCTCGTCTAGCTTGAGGACCAATTGCCATGTCAAATGTTTGTTGACCAAACTGTATCCAAATAGACGTTTCATAAGAATCAAGATTTTTGCACTGTTGATGATGAACCTAACTTCACATATCATTCAACTCCTGAACTTCCTATTTTAGTAACCTTTTTCACATGAGGAAGGTTCCTAGTCAGAGATATCATTCACTATTCAGTATAAATGCAACATGTATTTGTATTGCTGAACTACTCAATCCTGGAGAACACCTAGAACTAGAAGATATCATTCTTGTCTAATAAACACACCTGCAAGGCTGCAAACCAAAGATACATGGGATGCAAGATCATTCCTGTTTACTAAGTTTTTCTCATGTTACTGTTTAAGCTATACAAGAAAGTTTGGCTCTTCCATATATCCGCATAATATAACCAAAGGAACAAAATACAATCAGTGTTCTATCAACCATCGACATTCAATACTTAAAACAAACGAATTAAAGAGAGCTTTCAAGCAATTCAAGCTTTTTAAAGATTCGATGTAAAGTCCAAAGACGTTGTAAAAGACTTACATCTTTAGGAGGGAAAACTTCAACACCAGGGTTAACTCTTGAATTTACAGCTTCAAGCTTCATCGACAAGAACTGTGTCGTCCAATTAAATACAAGGCTCAAGTTCAACTTCGAGATCCATAAATAAATGTTGGAAAAATCATAATTAGCAGGCCAAGATTCTTTAAAAAAAGAAGGAATCAAAACGGTGTCATACCTCAACTTGGCGCTGTAGTGACTGAATATAATTAATTATCTCATCGAGGACCAACGCTTTCCCAATAACCTGAACCGAGAAATTGTCTTATTTTAAAATTTCATTAGGAAGCAATGAAGCAAGGCAAACAGAACCAATCGTGGCGAAGGATTTTCAGTTGTCTACTCAATAGCCTGGATATACTAGTACATACATACAAACACCTTTTCCTTCCTTTCAAGTCATTTTATTCAGATTGGAAGAATCACGGGTGACACAGTGAAGAAAAAAACTCATCAAGTACTAAAACCATACCTTGTTACAACCAGGAACCAACTCCTGAAGAATTTTCATCCTCTCGCTTATCTTTTCCCTCCTAGCCTGTTCCAATCAGAAAGCCTAGCAAGTTAGTCTACCCCTCCATAAATAACCAATCCCTTCATCACAAACTCATGATAAAGGGTTATAAAACTACAGTACAATTTTTCATTTTCTCCTTTTAGGATCAAGACCATGGAAATGAAAATATAACCAGTAAATCGTTGAATCAATTAGAATGCTTTGTTCATGATCAGTAAGCCACAAACGGTTTTAAATAATCAATGACCGATACGGTTCCAGTACCAGATCAAGACTAAATACAAAATATCTAAACAATAACGCGATTGAGCAGAGGAAAATTACTCTTTCCGCTAGACTGTGACTATCAGTAGCTTGACCCCTTCTAGCCCGTACATGGATGTAAGCTGGTTTCGGAGGCTCAGAAGCTGGTTGAGTGCTTTGCTCCGCTGGATTTTCTGAATTGGTTTTTGTTTCAGCTTCAATTTCACGGCTCTCATTCCTATTCCCTGATAATTTAAGCCGTTTTCCGTCACCATTATTCTGCTCAATTCAATTCAAATTCAGAATTAGTAAATGGATGAATTCTAATAAAAATAACTTCAGATCCATTTTCTTTATTCTAATTTTTTTGTACCATTAATTTTTTTGCCAAATAAAACAGTGGTTAATCTCACTTTATTGGATTAACTTTGAAATGGTTCTGAGACATATGGTAGATCATTGAGCAAAACGAACGAATGATTACCACGCCATTGCTATTGCCAATGCCAACGTTGCTGGTGGTGGAGACGTCTTTAGCCAATTCCTCCTCGGAATCGCGTTTCTTCTTACTGACCCCATTCGCTCCCTGCTCCGAACAGTTCGGATCATTACCCGGGACATTCCGATTCGGACCCGACGTAAAATCACCAAAGTGCCCCAAATTTTGTCCAAACTGCGGCTTCCTCAAGCCCAACCTGCCTCCAGACTCCCCGAGACCCGCACCGCCGTTCATCGGGAACTGCCAGATCTCCGCCAAGTTATACGACGCCGTATTAGCGTTTCCATTCGCAAACGAACCGTCGTTCATCATATTGATTGCCGCCGGATCCATACCAACACCGCCGATGAACTTTTACTCAAACAGTCAACATCCACCCTGCATCGCTAGCGAATAGCTTGAAGAGTAAGAGTGCTATTCGAGAAGCTTCAGAACAACGAAAAGGTTGCAATTATGCACAGAGAGAGAGAGAGAGAGAGAGAAGAGAAGCTCCAACTTGCAAGGTCGTCTTCGTGTTTGATCTCCATGGACAGTGGAGGATGATGCGCCCGGCGTGAATACTTATATCTCATTCATCCCTCACGCTGTTTCTGAGACAGAGACCTCGAGAGCAGCGTACCAAGTCACTTCCAGTGAGGTTTTTCTCGCAGGGTCCAGCATTTCATGCTTTCTCACTCTACATATCTGATTTATCTGTCTCTCATCAGCGCGTCTTCCCCGATTACCCGCCGTCCGATCGCACAACTATACCACTCCAGTAGAAATTATGAACCGTCCATTGGGTACACGAGACGAAATCGAGCCCAACGTATCTGTCTTTTAGCATAACATGAAAATTAAATCATTAAACCTAATTTAATAAGATATTTTATTTACAATCAATTGATCACCATACAATGATGATTTTAATAATATTTTTTCAGTTAAAAAATGTAAAATATTTTTTTACAAGTTTTAATATTAAAAATATAAAATATTTTTAATATTTTAATGTATAATTAATATATTTTTTTAAAGTTTTCATAGTAAATAAATAATGTTATATTTATTTTAAAATGAACATTCTATTAAATAAAAATAAATATAAAATATAATATTAATTTAAAAATAATTAATAATTTTATTAAAATATGAGATTTAATTAAATATACTTTATCCTTTTAAGCAGAAGGGGTAACTCTTAAAACAATGTGGTCACCTATTTAACTGCAGTCCAATTGATTTTCGGCACCTTACCAGTTACCATACGTTGGTCACAATAAAGCTTTTCGTATTTAGCTAATATAATAATATATAGTGTACTTTTAAATATGGAAAAAGTAAAAAAGAATAATAAATTTTAAAAAAGCTGTATGGTAAACTTTTGTAAAATGAAAAAATGATTATGATGTTTCAGTCAATTGGTTTAATTTTACAAAAAAATATATATAATAAAAAAAGAAGCCCCATACATATATTTGGTCGCGTGTGATTTTCTTTATTTTTTGAAAAAAAGAAAGAAAAGTACAAAAAATGACAGTTGATTTTTAGACTTTAGCTGGGCAAAGTACAGATACGGTGTACAAATGTTTAGGGGGAAAGAGACAGCGGTGGGGTTACAGTGGTTATCCTATGATTTAGGGGGAAAGTTATGGGAAAATTAATGATGGCTTTGATTTGGAGATGTTAATGATGATTGGGGGTAGACTTATGAGAGTGATTTATAGTAAAGCATTAGGGGAAACGATGATGAGCTGGGGTCAGCTCAAGCCTTGAATTTTAGGATAAATGAGGCCCACCGCCAAAATGGTCCATTATGGCCTGAATTAGATAATGACATTAATCATCTAATCTTGTCTTCTTGCATGCTGGGTATGTTGGGTTTTCTACATAGGTAAGTTGAGTTTTTCGGACTTATCCGTGTTAAGACATGCTTTTAAGTTTACCTCTATATATTATGAGATATTAGTCAAAAAAATTTTCACGATTAACTTCTGTTAGTTTTTTCTCTTTCTTTAGATTTTATTTTCTTTTTTTCATGAGAAATGCATTGTTTAGAAGAGTTGTTTCAAAAGGGAATAACAATTAGGTCTTAGATAAATGAATTGATGATTTTTAAATTCTAAAAATAAAATTTAAAAAAATAAATTATAAATATCAATTTAAGTAATTACAAATAAAAAATTTTATTACTATCTAAGGCTCTATTTAATTGGGTCTCCTCCACCTTACCAAACAAGGAGAGGGGAAGGGCTCCCCTTGTTTGGTAAGGTGGAGGCCTCCAAAAATTGTCTACTTGTAACTTGATTGTGCTTCAAAGCTGTTGCTTTGATCTAAATTGAGTGTTGTTCTTCCAAGGAGCACATACTGAAATATACTCACCGACTAATGGACCTTGGAAATAGATCAAGCAGCTGTTGAGACTTTGTTATTTTACAAACTTGTAATTGTCATGTTGAGGATGTTATTGTTAGTCAAGCTGTATTTAATTGAGAAAAGTTGTTTGGCCATCTTGTTAGCTCTTGATCAGTTTTTGAATTATTTACTTATAAGTAGGGCTTCTTATGCTGTATTTAAATGCTGCTGAATGGTAATCTTATATTTTTAAATTTGAAAAATGACAAATAATTTTACTGTTTTCTTAAACTAGCTCCCTTTAATTTGTTTGGTTCTCATTCACCCTCAACTTCTGTCTTAAGAAGTCAGAATGAAAGTATTTACTTTCGATTTGTTTTGGGACGTCACTTCTTGATCTTGTTTGACAAGGACTAAGACTGAATGATGATGCCAAGTGCCATTTTAGTATCAACAAATTTCTGCATCAATGTAATCTGACCTCTCTAATACTTTTAGTCATCCTCCAAGCACCTTTTAGTTTCAAATTATACTAAGATCAGTCTTATAATTGTAATTTCACCAATAGATAATGCTATCATTTGTGGCGTAGGCATAGAATGCACAACCCTTGAAGGAGGTCATTGTATAATTTGAAACTAGAGGGATTGCACGCATAAAGTTCCTTTAATGCACAAGGAAGAGGGAGATCAATGTAATTGGTTAACTTTCATCCCTTTTGCCTCCTCTCCCTTCCCCTTCCCTCCCTTTCTCCTCCCCTCCCCTCTTTTAGGACCACCTCAATATTGGTAAGTTGAATGTGTACCACACGAGTTTGAGACTCAATAATTTTTTCTCTTACAAACATAAGTTTGATATCAAAATGCTTTGTACAATTGAAATTTCGGTGGTTATTAGCATAATATACTGCAAATTTATTATCACAATAAATGGTTAGAGGATGTGATATTGACTCAACCAGGCACATGTCAGATATCAACTTCCTCAGCCATATAGCGTGACGTGTAGTCTCAAAACAAATAATATACTCAGCTTCTATAGATGAAACTATTGTAAGTGTCTATTTCACACTTTTCTAAGAGACAGCTCCTCAAAACAACATGAACATGTAGTTGGTTGTGGATTTATGATCATCCAAACAAGAGGCAAAATTCAAATCTGAAAAGCCAACAATTTCAAGATCTTCTGATCCCTTAAAGTCATAATCAGAATACCCAATAACCTCAAGAGAATTTGACCTTCCGTAAGTCAACATATAATTCTTCATACCTTAAAGATACCTCATTACTTTCTTAACAGCCTTCCAATGATCCGGACCTAAATCATTTAAGTATCGACCCAGCACTCCAATGGCAAAGGCTATATCTGATCGAGTACACACTTGAACATACAAAAGATTGCCGACAACAAAAGCGTATGGTATCTTTCTCATTTTAGCCCTCTTCTTATCATCCTTGGGACACTGTAACTCTAATAATAGCTCACCTTTTTGTACAGGAGCAGGTAAGGGAGAACATGAATCCATTCTAAATTTCTTAAGTACCTACTCAATATGGGTGGTTTGTGATAAACCAAGAATACCACGAGATCTATCACGATGAATCTGTATCTAAAAAATGAAGGAGGCTTCACCCATGTCTTTTGTGTCAAAATAGCAAGACAATAGGTATTTTATTTCATTGAGGAAATTCAATGAATTACTGGCTAACAAGATATCATCAACATAGAGAACAAGAATGGCAAAATTATTCCTATCAAACTTCTAATAGATACACTGATATGAGACATTCTCAGCAAAACTGAGTGAGGTGATAAATTCATCAAACTTTAAATATCACTGCCTAGAGGCCTATTTTAGCCCATAGATGGATCTCTTTAATCTGCACACTAGATGTTCTTTACTAGATTCAACAAAACCATCAGGTTGTGTCGTGTAAACTTCTTCATACAAATCATCATTCAAGAATACAGTCTTAGCATTCATTTGGTAAAGATCAAGATTAAACTGTGCAACTAAAGCCATTATAACTCTAAAAGCATCTTTGATGGATATCGAAGAGAAGGTCTCTGTGTAATTAATATCTTCTTTTTAGTTGTAGCCCTTAGCTACAAGTCTGGCTTTGTATCTATCAATTTCACCTCGAGCTTTTCGTTTTGTTTTAAAGACCCACTTGTAACTCACTGGTTTAAAATCCTTTGGTAGCTCTACAAGCTCCCATAGGTGATTGTAGTATATAGAGGTGATTTCTTCACTCATAGCCTCCGACCATTTAGAAGAATGCGAGCTAGAAATAGCTTCTTGATAAAATATCGGGTCTATACTATCGATAGAATCTAAATCAAATTTCTGTAAATACATCATGTAATTATCTAAATAATAGACCTGCGAACCCTTTGAGACCGTCTTGATTCAACAACCATATCCTCATCACCCTCTAAAGGTAGTTTATATTCAGCTTCATCTTGATCTACATCATTATTTCTGTCAACATGAGGAATTGCCACGATAATCATAGGCAAAATATTACTTTTGTCATGTAAAGTGATATGCCTAGGTACAGAGCTCCCACTATTTAAGGCATTTTCAAAGAAATAAGCTCGGTCAAATTTAATAACCCTGGTAGTGTGATTTGGATAATAGAATCTGTACCCATGAGATTCGATGCAAAAGAAACCATCAATAGTTTTAGCATCAAGCTTCATTTGTTGTGGATTGTAAGGTTTTACCTGTACTTTACAACCCCAAACTCGTATTTGTTTTAGCGCAGTAGTCCTTCAAAAATATAACTCATATAGAGCCTGCTGACTTGCTAGAAACTTGATTTAAAATATAAACAACAATTTTAAGTGCATCACCCTACAAGAATTTTGACGGTAAGGAGTGACTGATCATGCTTCTAATCATATCCATGAGAGTATGATTTCACCTTTCTGTAATGCCATTCTGTTGTGGGGTGCCAGGCATAGTACATTGAGCTTCAATACCATACTTTTGAAGGTACAAAGTGAATGGCCCAAGATTCTTACCAGTCTTAATATATCTCCCATAAAATTTTCCTCCTCTATCAGATCTCACACATTTGATCAACTTGCTAGATTTCAATTCGACTGCTGCCTTAAAGGTCTTGAATGCATTAAAAAACTAGCCCTTTTCATGCAAGAGTTCAATCCATCCATGACGAGAGTAATCATATATAATGGTGATGAAATATTTGAAACCACCCATAGCTGGAGGTATGATAGGTCCACAAATGTCAGTATGAATTAGGTCTAAAGTGTTTTCAGACCTCTTTACCCCTTTGGTTCTAGTTCTAGTAGGAAATTTTTTCTTTATACAATCAAC